TTGAAATTCTTTGCAAATAAAAGTGCCTTGCCACAGGAGTGCCTATTACAACTGAGGATGGAGGGCAGGCAGCTAGCAGGGAAATACAAGGTCCTCTGGTTTCGATTTACCACTTTTCTTTCACCACTCTTCTTTTCTTTCCTTTTAGGTCCCTCTTTGGTTTCGATTGTTTCTTTTTGGTTGATTTTTGGAGAAAGGGGGAGAGAGGGAGAGGGAGAGGGAGAGGGAGAGGGAGAGGGGGAGAGAGGGGGGGGAGAGGGAGAGAGAGAGAGATTGATTTGTTGTTCCACTTATTTATGTATTCATTGATTGCTGCTTGTATGTGCCCTGACTGGAGATCAAACCCACAACCTTGGCGTATTGGGACGATGCTCTAAGAACTGAGCAACCCAGCCAGGGCCTGGTTTTGATTTTTCTGAATGTGTTTGTTCAGGAGTAAAGGCTATTCTGTGGTTGGAATCAGGTATGCTGTCTATAGGTCATTGTTTTTGTTCAGGAGTCAGATAGATCCTACTTTGAATTCCCATCCCTCTTGCTCTTTAAGGCTTACTTTGAACATATTGCTTAACCTCTCTGAGACTTTCTCTTCTTCTCTGGAAAGTGGGGGTGTTATTTTCTTTCTCAGTGTGCGAGTCTGGACTCCTGTGTATGGCGTTTAAGAAAGTCCAGTGCTGCCCTGGCCGGTTTGGCTCAGCGGTTGGAGAGTCGGCCTGCGGTACAGAGAGACGCGGGTTCGGTTCCCGCTAAGGGCACGTACCTCGGATGCAGTTTGTCCCCGGCCCTGGTTGGTCGTGCGGGTGGCAGCCACTCGATGTGTCCCTTCACATCGATGTTTCTCTCTCTCTCTCTCTACCTCTCTCTCCCTCCCGCTCTATCTGAACAAAAAATGGAAAAATGTCCTCGGGTGAGGATAAAAAAAAAAAAAAAGAAAAAGAAAGTCCAGTGCTGTGGTTCTGCTCAGAACGCCCCCACCCGTCCGGGTTGCCCTCCTGCTCCCGTCCTGTTTCCGTAGCACTCAGCGCCTTCCACACGCAACATGACGGAACGATCTGCTATATCTATCGTTTACAGTATGCCCCCCCCCCCCCGCCCCAGGAAGGTAGGGTCCTTGAAGGCAGGTATCCCAAGGCCTAGAGCAGGGCCAGGCACACGGCAGGAGCTCGGTAGTTATCTGTTGAATGAGGACATAGGGCCCTTAGCCCTGTCCCCTGTGGTGTCCGTGCTTCTCAGTGAGACTGGTTCTGGAACTGGTTCTAGTTCTGTGGTTTGCTGCTTATCTTTTCCTTCTCCTGGAGATTTGTTCATTAGATCACATCCGTCCAGCAATAAATATTGTGCTCTTCCCTGCATTGCTGAATAAGTGTCACCGATGAATATTCTAGAACCTGAATTTGTTAAAAAAAAATTTTTTTTTTTAAATATGACTTTCTAATAAAAACTATTAGTCACCCAAGAACTTTCTAAATTTGCTTGAACACACTAAAACTTCTTTCTTAAGTCATAAACTGGCATAAAAAATTCAGGAGGGAAAAGAACCTGATGACTTCCCCAAAACCCCGACGTCTTCAAAGTAGCTGATTAATCCATCACTGTAAAGTGCGCTCTGACTATTTGTGAAGAGAAGAGCCAGTTTTAGGGTAAAGTGTCCGAGTGTGGAGGTGCAAACAGATCCGCCTGTGCATTCCCTCTGTGTCTGTCGGCCTGATGAACACAGGGAGTGGGAGGATCCGACAAACCTCGTTTGACTGGACTAAACTCAGTACGTTTAGGTATCAAAATTCAGGCACAGGACATTAATACAATAAAGACAAAAACCAACTGATCACAATAGATGCTTTAAAAAGCATTAAAAATCCAATACCCTTTTGTGATTAAACAAACAACAAAAAAAACATTCAACGAACTAGCATAGCAAGACATGCCTTCAGTTTAATAAAGGGCATGTGCAGAAAGTCCCCATGACTAATCATACTTGATGGCAAAATACTGGCTGCTTTCCCTTAGGTCAGGAGCCGGACAGGAGTGCCCACACTGCCACTTCCAGTCACCATTGTAATGGGGGGCCAGGACAATAAGACATCAGATTGGAAAGAAAGAAAAAACTGTCTCTATTCACAGAAATCCTAAGGAAAATGCACACACACTGTTAGAACTAATAAACAAGTTCAGCAAGATTGTATGATGTAAAGTCAGTGTACAAAGATCATTTGTGTTTCTGTACAGTAACAATCTGAAAATGAAATTAAGCAATTTTATTTATGATGGTATCAATAAAAATAAATGATTTAGAAATAAACTTAACAAAAGAACTTCAAGATATAATAAAAACTACAAAATAACATGAAAAGTAATTAAAATATACTGAAATAAATAGACATCCTTTGTTCATACATTGGAAGACAGTATTGTTAAGATAGAAATATTCTGCAAATTGATGTACAGGTTCAATGCACTCCCTATCAAAATCCCAACAGGATTTTTTTTCCAGAAATTGGCAAGCTAATTCTAAAATTTATATTTTATGATACAAATGCTGGGGATGCAGAAGAACCAAACAATTTTTTAAAAGAGGAACAAAGTTGTAGGACTCTCACTTCACAATTTCAAAATTTACTACAAAACAATAGTAAAGAAGACCGTGTGATACTGGCAAAAGGGTAGACATACAGGTCAATGGCATAGAATTGAAAGTCCAGAAATAAACCTTTAAATTTATGATCAAGATTTTTGAGAAGGATACCAAGACAGTTCAATGGGGGGAAGAATAGACTTTTAACAAGTGGTGCTGGGACAGTTGGATAGCCACAGGAGAATGAATCTGGCCTCCTGCTTCATGCCATATGTGAAAATTAACTCAAAATGGAACATAGATCCAAATATAAGAGCTAAAATCATAAAACTCTTAGATGAAAATACAGGAGTAAATTTTTTGACCTTGAGTCAGGCAGTGGTTTCTTAGATACAATACTCAAATCACAAGCAACAACAGAAAAAAATAAATTGGACTTTATCAAAATAAAAGAATTTTGTGCTTCAATAGACATTATCAAGAAAGTGAAAACAACTTACACAATGGAGAAAATCTTTGCAAATCATATACTATCTGATAATGGATTTGTATCCAGAAAATATATAAAGAGTGCTTACAACTTAATAATAAAAGAAAACTAACAATTTAAAAAATGGACTAAGGATTTGAATAGATGTTTTTCCAAAGAAGATATATAATAAGCACATGAAAAGATACTCAATGTCATTAGCTGTTAAGAAAGTACAAATCCAAACCACAGTAAGATACCTCTTCATACCCATTAGGGTGGCAACAGTCAAAAAGAAAGACAATCACAAGTGTAGCAAGGAAGTGGAGAAAATGGAACACTCATTCTTTGATGGTGGGAATGTAAAATGTTGCATATATATTTTTGGAAAAACAAAAACAGTTTAATAGTTCCTCAAAGTGTTAAGTTTAAAGTTACCATATGACCCAGCAATTCTACCCTTAGGTATCTACCCAAGAGAATTGGAAAGATATGTCCATACACACAAACAAAATCATGTACATGTATATTCAGAGCAGCATTAATTCACAAAAGTCAGGAAGTAGAAATGACCCAAATGCCCACCAACTGATATGAATCAACAATATATACAGTGGAATATTATATTGCAATAAAAGGAAATAAAGGTTGACACACTGTCCACGTGGATGAACCTTGAAAACATCCTACTATGTGGAAGAAGCCAGTTTCAAAAATCTACATATTGTAGGATTTTCTTATGTGAAATTTCCAGAATAGGCAAAACCATAGAAACAGAAAATAGATGAGTGGTTTTAGGACCTGGGGGAGAGCGAATGTGGGAAGTCTCCAATGGGGCTTCTCTGGGGAGTGATGGAAATGTTCTCAAACTAGATGGCGGTGATGGTTTCAAAACTTTGTAAATATACTAAGAGCCAGTGAACTGAACACTTTAAGATGGTGAATTTTATGGCATGTGAATTATGTCTTAACAAAGCTATTATGAAAAACTTCAGGCACATGTGGAGTTAGGGTTCCAGACTTCGCTGCCTTTATAAGGTGCTACCGGAACATTATAATCATAAAGAGGAGAGTATATGTATAACAGCTTATTTTCTTTAAATGTTCCTCCATTTCTTTCTTTTCTACTTTATTAATGGAAGTTAGAAATGCTTTCGTGTTGTTGACATGAACCTTTTTACTGTTCCATCATTTGTGTAGCCGTGGAAATGGAACAGATGGTAACCTTAAAGAGGAGTGTTCGATTTGGGGGAGAGATTTTGATCGTTGGCTGCTACCTTTTGAAAGAATGCACGTGCACAATACCCTTGCACATTAAAAGTAATGACCAGTGTAGGGAAGATTTGGGTCTCTAATTAAAATTTCAAACCTATGGGAATCTTTCATGGAGATGAAATGTCTTTCTTATGAAATCTTAGGACCAGATTTGTTTAGTGGGAAAAATATGTTTGCTCTTCTTAAAGAAAATCTCACCTACAGTTTTTTAAAACCACATTCATTTTCCAAGGTCTGGGAACCTTTTTAAAAAATGGTATGTTGTCAGTATTAGTTAAATCTACTGGTAATACTTCTGGTCAGCATGTGTGTTATGTCTATTTAATTACTGTGATAGTCAAGGAAATTGTGGTTGTGGTCTTTCTCCGGTGTTCTACCTAGAAAGATAAAAGAGATTTTGACATTCCTCTTGGGGTACTGATTTAGAAGGAAAGGTGGGGCTTCATGTTTAAGCTCCCTTAGCATGCTTACCTGGTGGTCTCTGACCTTCCACGGTGTTCCACATGCTCAGTGCCATGCCTTCTACAAAGACAGGCGTGCCATGCTACGTTCCTTTAGATGCTTTTGCCAAAAGCCAGTTGCCAAGGAATGTGTTTATAGTTTGGGATCCAAGGGCTGGGGACCAGCAGACCAGTTACAAACATGATTCTTTTGCCTTCTCTCACCTCCCGCCTTTGCTCCTTGCAGGAAGATCTGTCTGCACTGCAAGTGCCCTCAGGAGGAGCACATGGTGACAGTGATGCCCCTGGAGATGGAGAAGACCGTCAGCAAACTCATGTTTGACTTCCAGAGGAACTCGACTTCAGATGACGACTCAGGATGTGCCTTGGAGGAGTACGCCTGGGTCCCGCCTGGGCTGAAGCCTGAACAGGTACCGATCAGTTGTGGTTTGGCTTTTACCTTTGTCTTGCCCGTCCTGCCTCATTCCCGTCCAGAAGGAAGAGCTGGCGTGGCTAATTCAGGGAAGGGCTTGGGGCTCTATCGGTTGAAGATGTCGGAGGCCGCAGTAGAAAATGAGGAAGAGAAATGAAACAGTCTTGTGTGAGCCATTAGTCATCTATTTGGTATCACCATTAACTGTTAACAGAAGATCATCTAGAAATGTCTCAGAAATGTCGGCTTTGAGACATTAGATAGTGAAACTTCAGTTTTGGAGAGGGAAGGGAGTTCCACCTTGATCATGAATCTTCATGTTACGATTCTTTGTAAAACAGAGTGAGGAAATGTGGATTCGCCTGTTCTCCCCAGTGATATATATGTGCTGCGTTTAAATATTACGCTTGGCCTTGCTTTACAAAGAAAGACATTGGCATTTCCTGAAATATTTGGCACTACCCACAGGCTGTAAATATTATTGGCTCGATGAGATGAACTTAGTTTTTTCCGTTTCACTGCATTTTTCTCCGTGATATACAGCCTCTGCTTTGCATTTCTCAGTACTTGGAATTTTCTCTTCCATCAGCCTCATTGTTGGCTGAGAAGCCTTTGCTATCAGCTGGATATTTTCATGATTTTCTCTGTGCATCTGTTACCAGTGACGTGCTGTTTGTGTCCCCACCTGCTGCCGGTGGAAGTGAGCTTTTTGGGGTGCCGTGGGAATAAGAATGTCCTAAGAACCTCATGGGAGGATGAAGTATTGTAGAAAGCTTTATTTCTGTGGAGTTAAAACCCTGAGTTTCCAAGGTTCTATCTCCCTCTGTCCTGCCATGGAAAACGTCTCATTTGGTCGTCAGCAGGGTTAGATTCCAGCCATTGCCCAGAGTTTCTGCTCCATATTTGCACAGTCCACTCCAGCATCTGGTTAGCTTGTGTTCCCAGCTGCAGTCCATTGTGTAGGGTCCACATGGCCATGAGCCATGCAGCTTTGTGGGCCACATGGCTATGGAGGGAGCATGAGTGAGTGCAAGGAAGCAGAAGCAAAGCAAAAGGAACAAGAGAGTAAGAATGGGGGATTTTACCCTTTTAAGATTTCACATGCTTTCAGTGGTTTCACCCCCTAGCCAATTATCTTTGTTCCCAGGTTAGACTGAGAGGCCAGCACCTTTCCTATGTTACCCAGACTTCACTGCTCATACATCCATCTTCCCCTTTGTTGGACCCCTTCCCCCAGTGATTTGCAGGGAATAGACTGGTGGTTCCCTGGGGAGTGTGAACTTGCATCTTCCTGGTGAAGCTGCCCAGATTATCATGTTTATAATGCCTGGCCTCCTCTGTGCTCCTTTTCTATTATTAATATTAGCTAGCTAGTTATGACAGTAACACATCTTTAAGAGACAGGTTTACCAGAATCTTAAGTGTTTTACCACAGTCCCCTCCTCTGACACAGAAAGTTTCTTGCTCTGGAGATCTTTATGTCTAACAATGTTTTGAAGCTTATAAAGCCTTGAAATTTTATGTTAGGAATTTTAGATGTGGTCATGCTTTTAGAAGAAGTTCCTTTGATTAAGGAAGACCCAAGAATTCACCAACTTAAGAGTGGGATGCTGATAAGATCTCTTTGATTGGCCATTTCTCACTTTCTTCTTCCAATACTAAGGTTGCTTATTGGCTGATGAAATCAATCACACGGGCAGGATTTCTTCAGCCAGCAAAATATTGTTTAAAATTTTGAATTAGTAGTTGGGATTGGGGGAAGTAGAGGAGGACATAGGGGGAATATATGGTGATGGAAGGATACTTGACCTGGGGTGGTGAACACACAATACAATATATAGATGATGTGTTGTGGAATTGTACACCAGAAACCTATTTAATAATTTTATTAACCAATATCACCACGAATAAATTCAATAAGAAAATAAGATTCTAGAGCCATGAGGGAAAAAAAAAAAAACTTTTTTGAATTAGTTACTAATGCTAAATAAGAATGTTTATTTAAAAGTTCATGTTTATGTCTTGAAATTTTGAGAGTCTAAAAATCTTATTCCTGCCAGGGTTAGGGTTCCATTGAGTCAAGAGCTGGCCTTCTTTCTAGACAGTTTGCTCTCTCCAGGTCGCCCTAGTCTCCTCTGAGCCCACTTCATCCATTTGTGTTACCTTCCTAAACCCTATAGATTCTTCAGTTTTGAGATCTCTATTTCAATTCTTACCATGGAGAAAATATCTCAGAATAAGAACATTCATGGAAAATAATCTCCATGAGAAGTGAAGGGAATTCTGTGTTGTATATTAGTGGGAAGAAATAAGAGCATTTTCTCTCTGTTGGTAGGTTGTGGTTATATATTTTCTTCTGTTTCAGTAAGGATTGTATTGTTTAAGAAGAATGAGATATTTGAGTTTTTCAGGAAACTCAAATGAGGTGGTGGGTGACTGAGTATCTTTGTTTGACATCACCATTCTGTTCCAGGTACTTGAGCAATGAGTTTTCACACCTAGATGCATCTGTGAGCTTGTTTCATTTTCTTGCTAACCTCATTTCCAGCAGCTTCTAAGAGACCCATCTTTTTTTTTTTTAATTGCATTGGCCCATGTTTTATTTATTTATTTATTTATTTATTTATTTATTTATTTATTTATATTTTTGTTGAAAGTATTACAGATGTCTCTACTTTTTTTCTCCCATTGACATCCCCCTCCTCGCCCCCCATCTTTATCACATTATTGTCTGTGTCCATTGCTTATGCATATATGTATATAAGTTCTTTGGTTTATCTCTTCCTGAAGTTTGTCAGTCTGTTCCCTACTTCCATTTCGCTGGATCAGTTTTGTTCATCAGCTTATTGTGTTCATTATATTTATATTTTATTAGGTAAATATAGAGCCCTTCAAATAGCTTGAAGAAATAGTCTCTCTCTGAAGAACTAATACTTGTCTTTCTCTGCATCACTAATCATCAGAGAGATGCAAATTAAAATGACCATGAGGTATCACGTCACACCTGCCAGAATGGCCGCCATCAACAAATCCTCAAACAAATGCTGGCAAGGATGTGGAGAAAAGGGGACTCTAGTACACTGCTGGTGGGAATGCAGACAGGTGCAGCCGCTATGGAAAACAATATGGTGTTTCCTCAAAAATTAAAAATGGGACTGCCATTTGACCCTGTGATCCCACTTCTAGGAATATACCCTAAGAAGCGTGAAACCCATCTTTCTTTTGTTCACTTTGCTTCCTGCTAAATTGGGCCCTGAAATTGCAAAGTTAAGCTGTTTTCATTTTCCTACTTAAGTAGATTCTTCTTTAAGATGATCAAACATCAGTCTATAATGTTCAGATTCAGAAGATATTTTTTTTTGAGCCAAGAGAACAGACATTTGCAGAAGCTAGTTCTTGGTTAAATTCACCAATTTGAAAAGTGAGGCCACTTTGACTCATCCGAAATGAGCATCTTTGGAAAGTCTAAAACAACATTCTTTGATTTGTTTTGAAAGAAAATGATTAATGTTATTAAACAAGTGGTTTGAATTACATCAGATGAATGGATATTCCTATCGGTTACAATTCTATTGTTCTTTGAATAGTTTTCTCTATTCCCTTCACTCACTCAAACCTCTATGACACAGATGATTAGAAAGGGAAATTGTTCTTCAAAGAGAGACTGTCTCTTCAAGCTATTTCAAGGGCTCTATATTTGCCTAATAAAATATAAATCCATATTAAAGGTATTTGTTGCATGAAGGAAATGAACTTCGAATTTTTAAGTTATGAGATATTTTTTTAATTTTTTTTCATTGATTTTTTTTAGAGAGAGTGGAAGGCAGTGGGATAGAGAAAGAAACATCGATGCTGAGAAAGACACAAGTATGAGATCTTTTGAAGTTTATTACTGACAGAACTGTTTATAGATTTAAAGATTTTTTAAAACCTTATCCACTGTGTTCTAAGATTAGAAAAGTTTGGGTTCTAAATGCCTTTCACTAATAAAATCTCTGGTGTTTAATATCATGTTAGTTGTCTCTGGTTTGAGAAAAACCATTTTTCTATCAAGAGGAATTATAGTGAACATTAAAATGCTTTGTGCTGGAGACAGAACACCAGGCTAGGTGGGGTGAGAGTCACGTGCTTTCCTTTCTGTTAGAAACCTTTCGAGTCCTTGACTGTTGGCTTGGTTAACAGATCTTCAAGTGATACTCTTTATTATTCTGTTTCTTCTGAGAAATGCCTTCAATTAAATATAGTGCAAATGGCCCAGCTTGTGTGGCTCAGTGGTTGGGTGTTGTCCTGTGCACCTAGAGGTCACTAGTTCGATTCCTGGTCAGGGCACATGCCCAAGTTATGGGCTCGATCCCCAGTAGGGGGTGTGCAGGAGGCAGCTGATGGATGCTGATCTCATCAATGTTTCTGTCTCTCTCTTCCTCTCCCTCTCTCTCTAAAAAAAAAAAAATCAATAAAAATAAGAGTCACCTCCCATTTTGGGAGATGCTTTTAAATATGAGCATTTATTTTTTTAAAATCTAGTTGTAAAACTCAACTTTCTTAAAACAGTATGAAAAATAATCAATATAACAGATGATGCCAGAAAGGACAGGCACTGATCCTGTGATCTGTAATGACTGGCCTGAAAAGTAGCCAGGGAGGCCACTCAGATCCTGTGCCTTTGCTTACTCCGAGCACGGTGTTCAGTGTCGTCCAGAGAGCCTGTGGTAGCACAACAGAGAACTGCAGTCCTGCCTGACTGGCCATCCAAAGTCACCTGTTAGGATCCAGGTTCTTTTCAAACTCAAACAATTAATAATGTGCTCTGTCTCCTAGGGATGCCATGGATATAAATTTACAGCACACAATACTTCAGGAAGGACTTGAAAAATATTCAACAAGCTTATAAGGAAGGCAAAGGGAGAAAAGGGTTTCTCAATTTCAGCACTAGTGACGTTTTCTACTGGGTAATTCTTTGCTGTTGAGCCTTCCTGTGCGAGACTGATTAGCAGCACC